GTATTAACCTATACGGGCAGGTAAATCGCATGCGATGCAGGTCCTAAGACAGCAGCAAAGATTTTAGGTAGGGAATTCTTTATTGGAATGAAAGTCATACATTTAATTTCCTGCAGGTAGAAAGGGAGCACCGTTTTTCCTCATTTACTAGCTTTCTACGGGCTAAGGTTTTTTTCTCTCTCTCTCTTTTTAACATGGGAGGAAATATTGAAATGTTGCTTATCCTCACCTGCAGCGTCAGATGGTACAGTCTGAGAAACTCTGCACTGATTAATAACTTTGAAGGGGGCAATCAAGCTACACCTTCTAGCAAATGTTTGGAAATAAGTGCATAATTCTTTGGAAACTAGGTCTGATTTTATTTATTTTTTTTAAAGCTGGTGATCATTTCGGTTGGCAGTTTTTTTGGTTTGATGTGAGATTCTGAAGCACACCGATTTTAATTTTCAGCGGGGTCCTTGGCAATCCTCAGGACTTTCGCTCATAGAGGCAGCAAGCCGCTCAGCTTCCGGTCGTAATATGAGGGCAGGATGTTGGATACCCACCCGAGGCAGTCGGGAAACATCACCAACTGTTTCCCAGGCTCAAAGTCTTTGCTGAACAGGAAGACCAACACGTTTGAAAATTCCAGGCCAACGATCATGACCATCAGCACCCACATTCCTCTGGATAAGAGGAAGAAGAGAGTCTTTTGCATCGCTAGGGAATCTTGCACCAGTTTGGCCTGGACCATCTCTTGGAGCAGGGAGGGGGCCTCCAGGCCGTCCTCCGTCTCCGACTTGAACAAGGAGGCCTGTTCCAGCTGCCCCTGCAGACAGAGGATCTCGTTTTCCTGCACTTCACGGATCTGTTCGAGCTCATCCATCGTGCGCTTCAGCTCGGCAGCCTGGTTCTGCTCGTCCTCGTACCGTTGCTCGGCGGTTTCGATTTTCGCCTCCAACTGTTTAAAGTACCCCACGATTTTCTCCATCACCTGCTTCATACGCAAAATATCCTGCTCCTGAGTAGCCTTGTAATCCTGAAACACGATGACATGGTTGGAGACCTTCTGGATTTTGGAGCGGAGCACCTTGTTGGTCTCTTTGAAGGTCTGGTTCTGGGACTCCAAGGCTGCCACTGTGTCTTCGAGCTGTTGGAGCGTCTGCTGAAGTTCTTCCTTTTCCTTTTCCAAGTCCTCCACCATGGCTTTGAAACAATCGATTTTGGCTTCCAAGGTCCTGTTCTGCTCTTTCACGCTCTTATACTCCTTAACGATCTCCTGCTTTTCAACATCAAGGTTGGCCGCTGTCTCTCTCAGGTCCCAGATCTCATTCCTTAAGTTTTCCTTGGTGTCCATCAGGACAGATCCTGCGGGTTTCTCAATGGCATTGGTGTGAAAGGGCTTGGTTTCAGCGCCGCTCCTGTGAGTTCTCTGCTGATCAAGAACCAAAGTGAGAGTAAGCCAGCATCAATCATATTCTCGGCATATGCCATCTGTTGTTGGATGTTTTCATATGGGCAGCCACAGGAGGTGATAGCAGCCTATCCCAATTTATCCCATCTCCCCAGATTGGGTTGGTACTTGGATGAGAGACCACTAGGAAATGGGATAGGAGTGTGATGGAGTGGACTTATGAAGGCCAGGCTCAGGGAGATAAGTGTGTTCTTAGCCCCCAACAGGAGCGTGGGAAGTTCAAGATGAGGCTGGCACCCCCCTAAGGAATTCAGTGTTGTGGCTGGCTGGCTTGGGAACTAGGGTTCAGTCTGATGAGATTGATGTCCAGTTCGGCCCAAAGAACTCCACGAGACAATGCAAATACAGTTCTGTTGCGTTTATCAGCTTCAACCTCAAGACAGAATCTCACCAGACTGAACCAAATTCCCCAAGCCAGCCAGCCACAACACCGTGAATTCCTTAGGGAGGTGCCAGCCTCATCTTCTT